CCACGATTGCTGATCGCCTTCAGGACGGTTTTCGAGTGCGCATGCTGGGTGACCACACCACATTTGATTTCCGACAGCTTCATTGTGTCTGAAAGAGATGTTCTCACCGAAACGTGATATTTATTTTAATATTACATATTTCTGGTATATGTTAATATTAGATTTTTTATGTTGTGTATATGAATCATATAGTGTGTGTACGTTTTTTATGTAAAATGTACTTCATGCATTTTTTATGTGAAATATCATCTATCCTTTTTATCGCCGACTGTAATACCGGCCGTACTTCTCGAAGTTCCATTTCTTCTCAAGACTCTTTTAATAACTTTTACATTCCTGACGCTTTGGGCTCTATAAAGCCCGGTATCTTGCCTCCTGTTTCGTTCTTGTTCTTCATATTCCAGTGCCACAGATGTGAAATTTGTGTTTTTTGCGTCCAGAATGATTTTTTTTATGGTTTTACGTACCAACTGAAGAAAATTTTCAAAACGAGCAATGCACCGATGCAGTTGGGCTTATTTCACCCAAAACCATTTGAAGAATATCCAATGCCTTACCATGCACAGGATCGTGCTTATCTCGAGTGATGAACAAGATGTATTCAACGCCGTTCTTGCGCATAAATTCAATTTTTTCGATGAGGAAGCTCATGTCGGTGCGATCGTACTCTTCCGAACGTGATGGATTCGGCATCTGGATGCCGTGGTCACGCGAGCGATTCACGTACGCGGCAATAAAGCGACTAAAATTTGCATCTAGCACTAGTTTCAACGGACTTTCAGTAATGTTAGTAAATAAAAGCAAAAAAAAACCTTACTTCGAGCTGCGTACTGACATCACAAGCAAACATACTAATTGCTGTCTGGTCCATACACAGCACAATCAACCTAATAAAAGCCATTCCGTGAAGCAGCAGCAGAGGAACGCTGTCTCTCGTAAACAATCCGTAAACAAATCCTTCCAAAGGCTCCCCGGGTTTTTACGTATATCTTTTGTAAGTGCCACGTCAGCACAAGTTACGTTCGTACCTGATTCCTGAACCAAACCCGTATTCCTTCGTTCAAGTCTGACACAGAAACGTGAAAGCTAAAGAAATCGTACCGCACAGATCGGCAAACATACATCCAGTGTAGGAAAAATAGGAAAAATTTTGCGCTAACTCGGCAGCTTGCTGATCAACAGCACGCTGGAACATGAACACAACCCAACGACGCGGTGCGGTCGCTGGGCGGAAGAATATCTTGTTCTGCATGCCACGTGGTACTGAGAGACGCCAATCCAGATCACCATTTGCGCTCGGTTCCACTTTGCCGTTGTTGTAAACAATCGCCGGAGGGAACTGCACAATTGCATCGGTGGCTTTGGGCGAATTCATAACACGAATCTGTAATTTGTTTCTAATAAATGATAAAATAGCCTAATTACGACATTTTACCCGCTTTAAAAGACGTGCACTTTACTGAGAAGACCCGAACAACGCCAAGGATTCGTTTTCCGCGGAGAATTTTTGAGAAAAGCAAAAGCAAGTGTACTATCCGGCATACAAAATAAGGTACCAACACATCCTCAGGGACTAGCGGTGATTACTTCTCCACCCATTTCACAGTGGTCGGGGCCACCTTACAGCCATTAGTCATGGAATTAAGTTACTTCTCAAAAAACCACACTCAATTCCCAAGGTCAAAAGAGTTCAAGCTGATTTGAAGGCGAAGTGGCGACATCAAAACCACTAATAACTAAAAAAGAAATCAAAATCAGCGCCCGAAACAACAACTTACGCCCAAGCTACGAAGATACGGATTGTCATCGGCGATCTGTGCGTGACGTCGCTGGCG